CGGTCATTCTGTCGACTTTAAAACAGTTTTTCGAACCCCGCGGTACTTGGAAGCGGCCTACATACGGCGGGAGAAACCCGGCCTACGCAAGAAGTTTGCCCATGTGGTCAACCTCTAATTGCCCTGGTAATTGGGCACTTAGGTTTAATCCCCACGTGATTTTCGTTAACTGCCCTCCCCGTTTCCTTCATATACGTTGATTTAATGCAGTGTCCTTCAGCTGATCATCATTTATAGTGAACTATGACCCTTGCTGTTATGCCATGTCATTCAATGATAAATCATTCATTCCATTCCTTATCAAAATCATGCAACGACGGGGTGTACTTGGAAAGCTGTCACGAAATTTATTGAATTCAAGAGATTCTGCTGCCTACGTTTGTTTTAAATTTTTACCGGGGAAAAAATGCCTCAACTTTCTCAAACAGCATCTTCCTTCGGATATAATAAAGTATCTGGACAGAGTTTTACAATTGCAATGTGGAATAACGAAAGAATATACACACATTGCATTTCTCCAGAATTGCATAAACAGCAAGTAGTATCCAGTGGAGTTCTATAAGATCCTCCGTCGAGGTAAATTACGTCCAACCATTAAAAATCTGGACCGTCTTGCCCAATCAAGAATTTAAGACTTGGTGCTGGCTGTCTGTGCCAACAAACCTCGTTTAGATCAGACAATGCATTTTCAGGTTAAGATAAGTTTATTCTGTTGGTAAATTTTCCCGAAACATGCGTGTATCATACAAAAGAAGACAAGAGACGCATACCGCTTTAAATTAAGGAGGATATTATGCAAGACATCCACTGACGATAATTTCCCTCTGAGCACGGATGATCTTATTTTCAATTTATTCGACATTACAATTACTAAATTCCAATCAGAGGCTTTATCATTAGGGCTAGACTTTTGCTTTCCAGACAGGAGAATAAACCCAATTGAAATTGAGACGCAATTTGAAGACTTGAATTCTCAGCTAGCAGACGTAGTACCCGATTCACTGGCGACGTCAGCTGAATGAAATTAAAATTCCTTCACCTTATGCATAAGTACCGCCAGGCTCCTGCGACACATCCGACGCCTCCAACCAAAGAACACATGGCTGCTCCAGCTGCACGGAAACATAGAAGAAATTACCATTTCTGAGCCTGACAAAGGGCATATAGTGGTCACCCTTAACCGGCGGGTCTATGTGAGAAAAATTGAATCCATTTTGAGTGCTCAGAGCAAATTTCGTCCAGAAACGTCAGGTTAAGAGGAAACCAAGACAATAGAAGACTGTCTGGAAAATGATTGAACAATTGCTAGACAAAAACCTAACCGATACTTCAATTAGGGGTACGCACATCCCAAGACCATACGGAATTCGTAAAACGTACAAAAAGGACATACCTCTGCGACCAATTCTCTATATGTCTTATTCATCTAAACATAGATTAGCCCATTTGAGAACTACAAAGGATACTCTTCATCTTATTGAGGACATTAAACGCCAAAACATGTAAATATGTTTTTTTTCTCATGTTGTTGCAACTTGGTACGAAGAAGCCCCCAAAGAAGTCCTGTTAACGTTCAAAACAATCGAGTAAAGCCTAAGCGAGACACGGAAACAGGAACGTCCCACCCAATTAAAATAGATGGATTGACGATAAATCTTAGGAAATGTTGAGATTCCCGTATCTTAACCCTAACAATAACCTACATCTAAACTCTAACCTTAGCCTTAACCCTGGTTCTGTGTTCTGACATTTTTCTTTTCACTTTGCTGAGGTTCATTGTTGAGGTATTGGCGTTCCATTTATTGCGTTCCAGAAGTTGGCAGCTCTGTTGACTATTTCCTTCTAATACAGACATTGCATTTTGTATTGCGACAAAATGAATGATGTACAACTGAGTCAAGAACGATGCGATTCCTGTATTTGCGATTGACGGCTATTTCCTTCTCTTCGACTTTTTCAGTTAAGCTATTGTAATGTAAGGTGTTCTTACTGGCGTCTCAGACCTGCCCTTAGAGATGCATATAACAGTTAATCGCAGGAAGAAAATGTAATAAAATGCCATTGCAGCAAACAGAACATTTAAAATGACCGGCTTTAGTGATTAGGGAATAGAATGACAGAATAAAAAGTTGGAAATCGGGAAGTTGTTAAGACAAATCGATCGGTGATAGAGCTTATATTTGCACCAGTTACGTACCACACGCACACTCTGTTATAAGAAATGTTCGAATTGCTGAAATTACAGATTATATCTAGGTTGTCTGCATTGAGGCTAGGATTTTGAGTGTCAAAGACTGACGATTCCTGTTCCAATGGGACATTTCATTATAAAGCACTATAACTTTCAGCGCATTTTGCCTTTTACAAAAACCAAGAGGTACGAGCAACCGGTAACATAAACACCCGCCGCATCTGCTAAGACAATTGCTTCGTATTCTAACTTTGAACATGCGTTTCCTCTATGTCCTCAGTAATTCGTGTTACTTGGTATTATCGTACTATCCTTTTGGTGTCCATCATAAGAAAGGACTCCGTGACTTCCCGTACTTGAGTGTAAGAACTCTACTAAAAATCACCCTTGGAACGCTATCTTAAGCGTTATTCAATCTACCTGCAGAAAAGATTGAATATATTGTTGTGACCTCACTCCTTCAATGATAAATTCTGGAAAATGTGACCGAAATCCTAGCTATCTAGTCCTTTTATTCGTAAATAGTTAGTCATGTACTCCCCATTTAAGGTCCTTATAAGACGTGGTTTGTGTCATATAATTATTTCTCATAACTCCATTTTTTTCACTTTTTTCTGCTTTCACTAGCATAATTTGTAAAGGTCTTTGTTTTCCTTTTGTTCCCTACTACAAGAAGCATACCTTCACCTCCATGACACAGTACGTTTCTCTGTCTGCACGGCGCTGACGACATCAACTGCACCCCACTATGTGCTTAATAGTAGGATTTTGTTGCCTCCAGTTTCATCCGCTTGATGTAGTTCTATTTTGAACTTCCCAGGGCTGTTCCTCGTTGACCAACAGAGATAAGCGCTTCCGCGAGAAACGTGACAAAACTCCTGGACCTGATGCCTATACAATTAAGTCAAAGTGGCCTGGTTATGAGAAGGATCCCTGTGGACTTATGCTGGGAAAATTAATGAACATGTTTATATGTAAGGAGGTAGGTCTTATAAATTCAACCGTTATTAGCGTATGAATGATTTTCTATCCGATATTACGCATTCATATCATTATTTCATATTACAGTATCCAGGAGTAGCAAAATTACGCTCTTTGAAGAGAGTATACCCACGTCACCATATAACACAGTTACACACTCTTTTATCAAGTGATATTACATGACCGACTCCTAATTCAGGCTCCAGTTGGCTGGCGTTATCTTTAGCTGAGTACGTTAAGTCCAGTTACTAGTGCTGGCAAAGACGTTTTCCACTCTGATCTCTCATATTCATGGTGACCTAATTTTCGCCTAGGTAAGCCTGCAAAAATAAACAAGAAAGTATCGTTTCGTATAAACCGAAAGGCAGGCATCCCAAGAAATGTAATTTCATGGAAAGTCAAAGATGCATGAAAAGTATCGTTTATAATACGCTGATGAGATTCGATAATATGCTTTTTCTTCTGCAGTACAAGTTTTATGTTAACAGACTTCTGCGATCATACAGAAATGTTTGTGCAACAACGGCATAGGCTTCGAATCATTGGATTGGAGATGGCTGTTTTGTGTTCCATAAGGAGTATCGAAGCAGTAATTATGCTTTCGTTGGCAGAACATCCGGAGCTGTAGCAAAGAAACTTCGGTAATTCAGACGTACTCGTGACAAGATTTTCAAGTCAAAGGCAGCTTTTACGTCCTTGAAGTTTCCTTTCGAGTGACATTTGTAAAAAAAAACACCAATTTCCCTTCAAAGTCTGGGGGGGGGCTT